TGTATATTTGTAAATATTTACATGGAAGAAAATTAGCCCTTTGACTTTTCATGTTGGTTGCAAAGTTATTCTAGTCACTACAACACCAGATTCTTATTTATCTCTATGTTTATGTTCCAGGTATTCTTCCATGCAAAAAGTTTTAAAGTTTATGTCTGAAAATTTATCAAATTGTTAGGTCACTACTTTTAGGTTTTGTGTCAAAATTCTAAACACGTTCTACTGTGTTTTCTTGTTGTACTGTTACATTTTTGGTTTTCATTTTAAATCTTGAATCCACCTAAAATTTATATCACCATCCCCCAGGAGTAAGGGAGAAATCCAGTTTCCCTCCCTCCCAAATGGCTAGCTACTCACTCTAACTCAAGAAATATTAACCAAATGCATAATCATCAGTAAGCTTACTCTATTCTAGCACAATGTAGGCTCTCATAAACATTTGTTGAATGAATATTTAGATAGTCATTTACTCATTCATTCTTTCTACAAATATGCATTGAGTACCTACTATATGTGAACACTATTCTAGATCTTGCATGTAACAGTAGTGACTCAGAACCTGTCCAGGAAGCTTGCAGTCTAGCGGTAAAGACAGGCATTAAATAAGTAATCATATAGCAATTATTTTGGACAAGATAACCTAAGATTCCTCTTGCTGTGAACACCCAAACTTGCTAGAAGAAATATGGTGTGTTTTAAAATGCAGAGTTGGCGGCTGAGGGGCGGGGCAGGGGCAAGAGTGGCTTCTTTGTTTCATTGTGCCCTAGCGACGCCTGGACACCACGCAGGCCGCCGGCACCATGAAGATCTGGACTTCGGAGCACGTCTTTGACCACCCATGGGAAACTGTTACAACAGCTGCAATGCAGAAATACCCAAACCCTATGAACCCGAGTGTGGTTGGAGTCGATGCATTGGACAGACACATAGATCCCTCTGGAAAGCTGCACAGCCATAGACTTCTCAGCACAGAGTGGGGACAGCCTTCCATTGTGAAATCTCTTATTGGTGCAGCAAGAACCAAAACATATGTGCAAGAACATTCTGTAGTGGATCCCGTAGAGAAAACAATGGAAATTAAATCTACTAATATTTCATTTACAAATATGGTTTCAGTAGATGAGAGACATATACAAACCACTGCCTCAAGACCCAGAAAAAAACTGTTTTAACTCAAGAAGCCATAATTACCATGAAAGGAGTCAGTCTCAACAGTTAACCTCGAAGGACTGATGGCAAGTACGATACCATCAAATGCTAATAAAGGCCGAGAAGCAATGGAGTGGGTAATACATAAATTAAATGCTGAAATTGAGGGATTGACGGCTTCGGCAAGAGGGAGCATAAGGACACCAACAGCGGCAGCAGCATTTGTGAATAAATGATAATGAAAGTTGATAAACAACACCCAGTTCCCCAGGTCTCTACAAGCTGGCAGTATATTTATTTGTTATTTTAAAAATACAGGGCTTCCCTGGTGGCACAGTGGTTGAGAATCCACCTGCCAATGCAGGGGACTACGGCTTCGAGCCCTGGTCCGGGAAGATCCCACATGCTGCAGAAAAACTAAGCCCGGGCGCCACAACTACTGATCCTGCGCTCTAGGGCCCGCAAGCCACAGCTACTGAGCCCACATGCCACAACTACTGAAGCCTGTGCGCCTAGAGCCGGTGCTCCGCAACCAGAGAAGCCACCGCAATGAGAAGCCGGTCGATACAACTAGAGAAAGCCCGTGCGCAGCAACGAAGACCCAATGCAGCCAAAAATAAATAAATAAAATAAATAAATTTTAATAAATAAAAATACAACTATATTTTCGGTAGAATTTTGTTTTTTGATAAGCTGAAGAAAGACTATGTGACTTGATCAAAACCAAGAGGTGCAGTGTTTCTAAACAAAGGGATCGGCTGAAATTAGTGTTGTCTGAAATGGCTGCCTGATTTTGAGGATTCCAGTATTTATGTGAAAATTTAACAATTTTTGAAAAGTACTTAAAAATTGATATTGACTGATTAAACCTCCTTAAAGTAGAATTTTAAAGCTTTTCACGCATTGGAACTCTACCTAGTTTGGGACCAACCCCAGAACCAAGCAGAGCCACCTCTCACATACCCACGACTACCCTGCTGCAATAAACTTGTAGAACTTGCATGAGGGAACTCATTTTTAAAGGAGAAACTGTATAGTTTTAAAAAGACATTGATGGTATAAAATAATTTGCTCTGCTATAAACCACCGTTAAAAATCACAATGTTTTAATTTGGTACTTAACATTTTTGGAGTAAAAACTATCACGAAAGTAATAAATGATGCCAACAAAAATATACTTTATTGTGTTACAGAGTACTGTATTGGTTTGCCAAAGTTTTGTAACTTAGTAAAGGTATTACCTTCCTTGGATTTGTACTTTATGACTTAGTATGCTGTATCATGGGCTGGTTATGTTAACTGAAAAAGTCATTGCCAGAATTTTGCAGCACTCTAAACTTAAACAGAACAGCTGTTCACATCTTTTAGCATTTCATATTTGCCTAACTTATAAATTGCCATGTGTCAAAATCATGGTTCTGTAATTGCTAAAGCATAATATGCCAGGTTATTTGAATCTAATTACTTTTTGAAGTTAATTACGACCACAAAACATCCTTTTTTACGTGAAGAGCTGTACATCATTTGAAATTACTTAAATGATGTCTTGCTCTGATGCATAAATTCCAGGGACTTAATGTTTTTTAATAATACTGTGTCACTGCAGGGGATGGGGGCCGTGGAGAAGAAAAAAGAATAATAGGGTGAAAAAAAGCATTGACCTAAACTAACCAGTAGGTGAATTGCTTTGCAGCTTTTATTTATGGAAATCCTTGCTTTGGATACCAGAGTGCAGCTGCAATCTGAAAACTAAATCAGTAAATGTATTTTGTTTTGTATTTTGTAGCAGGCAATTAATTATCCACCACTAAATAAATAAGAATATCTTTGATACTGGGAATTGTTGCATACAGCGTGTTTTTGTTAAAAGGTGATGAGCTCTTGCCTTTACTTCACAGCACTTAAAGTGATAAACTTCTAGTCAGGTTTCCTATAAAAGAAACCAGTTAATATATGTACATAAACCACAAAAATAGTATAACAAACTATTTGAAAATTATTGTTTTTCAACTTAGAATATTGTTTAGCTTGAGACTTCTTAGGACATTTGTAAAAGCAAGTTAAAGCCAATACGATTTTTGATTTTTTTGTAACCGGAGATGGTTTTTACAATTAAAATAACATTTCAACTAAACAAAACATTGCTAAATATTGATATTTAATAAGTTGCCTTGTATAATTTCTGAAAATTATACTTGTTCTGAAAAGTGTAAGAATACCCTAATGATAAAGATTTCTAAACAAAATTTTATCCTGTTTGATTTTTTTACTCTGATCTAATGACAAAATTCTATAAATTTTCATTTTCCAATGTAGTTACTTTTAGTTAAGTAGCTAGTAGTTAATGGCTTTTACCTGTTAAAATATAAATAACATAGCAAGCATCTGAGAGGACTAAACTGGAATAAAGTGTTCATGGGTTAGAATTAGACTCGGACTATGGAGTATATTATCCTATTTAATATTCAAGATGGATCTTATATGAATTAAGAAAAACCTTCCTGTTAATAAAAGCTTCCTTTTAACTAAAAATAAATAAATAAAATGCAGAGTTGAGCTCCAGGGAATCCCAAAGATCAGGAACTAACAGGGAACTGAAAACCATAGAGACTCCTCTGGGGAGATTTGTCCATCTAGGTAATAGGACCTGGATTCTGAGGGGGAAAGAGACAAGGCTCTGGGCAACTGTATTTAATTAAATTGTGGGGTGGAAATCCATGAAGATTTTTGGGAAGAATTAAGCACAACCTATGAGACTTAAGTTCTAGTACTATTTGTTTGAACAATGACTATCTATGAGGTCACAGGCAAATCCCTTTACTCTTTTCAGCTTCCATTCCCCTCGTATAAAATGAGAGAACTGAATTAGAATATCTATAAATTATGTTTCAGCTCAACATTTTAGGATTCTGTGAAGAGAGACACCTTTGAAAATTTAATTTGGCAACAGTGTGAATGGTGGATTATTGTATTAGCCTTGTAACTGGTATTGCTGCCTCTAGGCTTGCTTTAATTGCAAATTAATCTCTTCACTGACCACAGTAGCCTTTCTTAAACAGGTCTAAATTTTATCCCTGCTTGAACATTTTGAATCCTGTTCCAGAATTTTCAGGATAATGTTAAAAAGCCTTAGTTTAGCAAAAAAAATGTTTTCATCATCTGGCTGCTTTATACTCATCTAATGTTCTCATCTAACATTTCTCCCATTATAGTATAATTATTGGTTTATTTGTCTCTTCTAAACAATGTAAACTCATCTTTGCCTTTTTTTTTTGAACAAGAAGTTTATTTAAACAACAATACGCTTGACTTGAAGGGAAAACTGTCTAGGATTCATTTCTTTTAGAGTAATTTAAAGACATTGCCCTGCTTGTAACAGCTACATAAAAAAAAGTTATAAAATTGTCCTTGGTTTTACAATGATAAATGAAAAGCATTAAAATTCTCCCATCGAACAAGGTATGCAAGGATTTTTATGTTGTTCTTTTTTGTTAAACAGTGAGAGCAAAATAACTTACTGAAATATAAAGGCAAGAGCTGAATGAGCATGCCACTAATGGAGAAAAGGGGGTATTTTCATAGAACCAGTATTTTTCCCCAGCCCATCTCCATTTGATGTCAGTCAAAACATACCATTGGCCATTTACTTAAAAAAAAAAAGTACTATGCTTGTGCACGTACACCAGTTACTTTATGTACAATAAAGAAAGGGGGAAGGGGAAAATGAATGAACAGAGAAAACTATACTGTAGTAGTCAGGATGTGGTGGAACCAAATTGCGGTTTTCTAATTGAGAATGTCTTCTTGGAATGGAGGAACAGAATTCTGGAGTAAAGTAGCAGGTTCCCTTTTTAGTAGACACCTCCTGTCTGCTGCTGCAACACACCAATTGTATCTTCAGCCTCCATGTCCAACTGTGCAGGTGTGTCTGTTTCATTGATTGGCTGCCCATCAAATTGGAATCTGATCTGCCTCATTGACATACCCTGTTGTTCACAATAGGCTTTCAATAGTTTAGTAAGTGGTGTATGACTCTTAATCTTAAACTGCACCACAGAACCGTCCTGCCCCGCCACCTTCAAATTAATATGATCATTGTTCTCAGTCTTGACTCCTTCCTTGGGTTTTTCATCAGCCATGGCGAGCGTCAGATTCTCCTCAGCTGCCGCTTCACTAAAAAGGTGCCAGGTCCACATCAAAAGAGCACACAAGCAGCACCAGGAGTGGCAGAAGGAGGCGGCAGCGGTGGAGGAGGGAGAGCACCTTTGCCTTTTAAATATCTAGCACAGGTGCTGGCATACAGCAAGAACACCATAAATATTAAATGAATAAATAAGTGTACTGAAGTAAGAAGACCTGGTAGGTTTAGAAATAATTCTGGAGGGAAGTAATACAGCTCTGAACTGACATGGAAATATTAACAAGGGGCAGTTGGGTATTAATTAGGAAATCATAGTGGAAACACAACCTATAAAAGATGATCAAAGAGTGTCAACAGGGAAAAGGGAAACCACACTCCATCTCAGATGGGATTTGAACCCACAATCCCTGACTTTAGGAGGGACCTCGAACCCACTGTCTTTTAATTGAAACCACTCACCTAGTACAGGACTTACTGAAGCTCAGGTTCTTTTGTCTCTTTGCAGAAAAGGCAAAGTGGCAGGCGAAGAGTGAATTTATTAGTATACATAGGACGCTTGTGAGAATACAAAGGCAGGCAAGAGGCAACCCCAAGAACAAAGAGGGCCATATATATATATATATATATATATATATATATATATATATATATATATAACGCGGGCCTCTCACTGTTGTGGCCTCTCCCGTTGCGGAGCACAGGCTCCGGACGTGCAGGCTCAGAGGCCATGGCTCACGGGCCCAGCCGCTCCGCGGCATGTGGGATTTTCCCAGACCGGGGCACGAACCCGTGTTCCCTGCATCGGCAGGCGGACTCTCAACCACTGCGCCACCAGGGAAGCCCAAAGAGGGCTATATTTTTATAATCAAACAAAACGTGCGGAGGGGAGAAGACCACCTTCTTCCTCACTTTTTGGTAGATGTCAAGGTGATAGGGACAGAGTAAAGAAACAAAGTAGGTAATTAAATAGTTAATCCCACTAGGGGATTGTAAGTAGATAAAAAAGTATCGGAGACCCCTGTAAGTTAATGATTACTCAAGAAAGCAGGTTTGCTTAACCACAAAACCAAGCAGGCTTGCTTAGCAATAAAACCATGCAACAGGAGCATGAGACATGCCCCCAAACAATAAAACAATGGTGGTATGAGACCCACATCCTGTCCAGTGAGCTCAGTAAGTTATTGATTCCTAGGACATGCTCCTCTGGGCACATTAAAAACAAAAATATATGGGCTTCCCTGGTGACGCAGTGGTTGGGAGTCCGCCTGCCGGTTCAGGGTACGCGGGTTCATGCCTCGGTCCGGGAGGATCCCACATGCCGCGGAGCGGCTGGGCCCGTGAGCCATGGCTGCTGAGCCTGCGCGTCCGGAGCCTGTGCTCCGCAACAGGAGAGGCCACAACAGTGAGAGGCCCGCGTACCACAAAAAAAAATAATAATAAAATAAAATAAAAATAAAGGGTGACATTATACTGAAACCTGAAGTGATTTAACCATTTTTAGCATATGTTACTGCCTTTTTGCTTATTTCCATTGTGCCATAACAGTCCTGGCTTGACCATGTAGGGACAAGAAAAGTCCCCCAGCCGACATGGAGGAGGAACTGATGATGACAGTGTGACGTCTACTCAGGAATGAGGAAGATGGTGGTCTTCCCCACGCCCAACTTTTCCTTTGGTTATAAAACCATAGCCCACTAAGTTCTCGGGGTGCAGCACCCTCTCTCCCTCCTGCTTATAAGCCTCACAAGCATCCTATTCTAATAAATCACTTACCTATCACTTTGCCTCTCTCTGAATTCTTTCTTCCATGAGACAGAAAAAACTGGAGCTCCTCGGAGCCCCCTATCGGTTTCGAAGGCTTACATCGTAAGTTCCTCCTTTGACCCTATATGGTCTAATTCGGATGGTCATAGAACTATTTAAGTCAAATATATATATTAGCAAAAGGCTGGTAACGTATACTAAAATACGGTCATTCATCTCAGGTTTTGGTATAATGTCCCCTTTCACCTAGTTTCTTTTCCCTTTCACCTATATTCCTGTCTTGGCTACATGCAGAAATGCAACCCTTTAAGGACCACTAACTCCCTGACTTTATGTGACAAGATTCAGGCTCCATATCTATCATCTTGTGTTTTAACTATCAGGGTTTGTGGCTTGAGTGTGCTTGGCACTTGGATGCATCTGGTCTTCCTTCAAGTTAAGAGTAGATTGTTGCTAGATAACTGGATTCTTTTCTGAGTGGTCATTAGCTTACAACAGTCTCCCAAACTCCGTTAAAATTTCCTTTCTGTCTTTAATCCCCTGGTGAGATTTCTAAACTAATTATCCTACTCTATCCCTATCAAAAGCAGCACTATAAAGGTCTAATTCTTAGGTGTATATTTGTTAACTATATAGCTTTATTTAGATTTTTTAAATTTTTATTTATTTGTTTATGTCTGCATTGGGTCTTTGTCGCTGTGCGCGGGCTTTCTCCAGTTGCGGCGAGTGGGGGCTACTCTTCGTTGCGGTGCGCAGGCTTCTCATTGTGGTGGCTTCTCTTGTTGCAGAGCATGGGCTCTAGGTGTGCAGGCTTCAGTAGTTATGGCATGCAAGCTCTAGAGCACAGGTTCAGTATTTGTGGCACACGGGCTCAGGAGCTCCTCGGCATGTGGGATCTTCCCTGACCAGGGTTCGAACCCCGTGTCCCCTGCATGGTCAGGCGGATTCTAAACCACTGCACCACCAGGGAAGCCCCAGCTTTATTTAGTTTAGATGAAATTTACCATTAAAAAAACCAGCTCCAAGATCTGGTCCCAACGTGCTAGGGCAGACAAGTCTACACTGTCCATAGATTGTGACCTCTCTCTTTAAGAATATGATGACGTTTGATTTTACTAGCTTGAACACAGCTGAGTACAAACCTGAGTAAAGTTTACTGTGGGCACAAATTCAGGAAGTCAGAGATATTCAATTATCTGTTGAATGCCTGGTATGCACAGAAACCTGGAGAAACAAAATAAATGAAAAGTAATTTTAGGGAATTCCCTGGTGGTCCAGTGGTTAGGACTCAGGTGCTCTCACTGCCAGGGGCAGGGGTTTGATCCCTGGTCGGTGTTCTCCCATAAGCCATGCAGCATGGCCAAAAAATAAATAAATAAAATAAAATTACAACAGTTTGTCCAACACTTAAAATGTTCCCAGCTCCCAACTTTTTCTACAGGTTCGGGGGTATATTTTAACATACTTGTTTACGCAGGTGTTTTATTTTTTTCATCTGTTATTACCCACTCGAACAAAAAATAGGTAATTCCTATAAAGTCCAATTTCTTTGAAAATTCTAGGGTGTCGTTTTAGTTTAATCCTCTTTCTCTCTAGCCATAAGATTAACTGTTGGTAAATGCTGAGTAGTGCTTTCATGCTCTACAAGCAAGAATACTAAATAGGAAAAAAAGTAATTTTTTATTACCTTATCACCACTTTTCATGAACCAACTTTGTTTTTCAGAAAATAATCAACGGGTAACCCTCTAGGTTCAAACTGTTGTACACAGAGACGCTCATTCAAGAATAAATCATTATATTGTCACGGTTGAAAAGTATTTTTGGACGCCATTTCACACTTGTGAAAGTACACCTTAGACAAAATGGAATATTTAATACAAATCTGGGACCAGCGAGAGGCGAGCACGCAAAATTTAAGTGGGCGAGACTGCTACGACCCTAAATGTGAGCGCCTCCCTCGCCACACCCAGGGCCTGGCCCTTCTTTAATAAATGGAATAGGAGTCCGAAGGGTATGCATCTGGGGTCTGGACGGTCTTTCCAAGCCTTAGATGCAGTTAAGCCAGCCACTCCATCCAACCCACTAGCGGTTGCAAAGTGGGAATTTGTTCAACAGGAATTGCCAAGTCAAATACTGTCATATCAAGTTCCCTTCTGACATGGCAGGTGTCGCCTCCGGAGCACCAAAAACAAAACAAAACACCAGCCCATCAGCGCCGGGAAATGTCGCGCCCCAACTGGCACTAGGCAACTCGCAAAGGGCCGAAGGTATGTAGGCAAAAAAGCTTCCCCGGTAACAGAGGAGCTGATGCCTTTCCTTAGGAAACTCAAGGACCCCACGTGTGCGTGCAGCGCATTAACGGTCAACAGCGGAAACTAGGACTCGGGCCCAAACTATAATAGCTGCGGCCGTCAGCGCACGCTCCCGGGAACGGACGTGGCGGCCCCGGCTATCGCCGGTTTCGGGAGACGCGCGCCGGGTCCTCAGGTGGTTGGTGTCCGCCCTCCGCGGGCCGCAGCCACAGTGCGGACTTGACCCTGCAAGGGAGAGGGGACGCCATCCGTCCCCGCAGGACTCGTGGAGCCGCTGTACAAAGAAACCGGAGACGTCGGCACCACGAGCAGGCAGGCAGATCCCCGAACAGCCGCGTGCTCGAGGACCCCGGCGGCGGCGCGGCGCGGCGTGGCGGGAAGGGGCAAGTTTCAAAGCCGAGAGGTGGCAGCTGGTTGTTGGAGCTACGGCGAGATGAAGCTGCACTGCGAGGTGGAGGTAGTCAGTCGGCACTTGCCGGCCTTGGGGCTGAGGAACAGGGGCAAGGGCGTCCGGGCGGTGTTGAGCCTCTGTCAGCAGGCTCCCAGGACTCAGCCGCGGCCTCGAGCGGGAGGCGAGCCGGGCGGCCGGCACCCCGCCTGCCTGTTCATTTCCACCCTGAAGGACAAGCTCGGGACCCGCTATGAGGTGCGTGAAGCAGGCAGGTCAGGGGTGGCAGCCAGGCGCTCTTGCCCTAAGCGCCCGACTGTTCCCGAGGCCGGACTCCGTCTTAGGGGTTCCTGAGCGCCCAGCCCCCGAACCCCATGACCACCCGGACCCCGGCGTCTCCCTACGGACCCCGAGGAGGAAAGATTTTGAGAGTGCACTTCTTATTTTTCTTGCCCATTTCTGCGACTTTGTATTGACAGCCTTGCTGTTTAGTAGTAGATAGTAGCCCCGCCCCTTTAAAGCCTTGGAAATTTCGGCCTGCCGGATTAAACTATAAACGAAGCATCAGTCCAGTTTGGGAGAACTGTAAAATGACTACACTTTGGTTCAGTAGATTCTGTTTCTCCACAGGCTTTTCGCTAGTTTTGTCTGTTTGTTTGTTTGTTTGTTTTAAGGCTTTGTGGGGGTGTATCTAAGGTCATTAGGCGAGATTAGTACAGTAGTAAAGCAGTAATGCTTGGGTTGCATCTTGATATTTTTATTAAAGTTATTGGTTACTGCATCTCTTTCTCTCTTTTTTTTTTCTCCTCAAATGTTTGATTTCCTAAGTCTTGATTTGTTAGGTCCAAGACTTTTTCGTATCTACCTAGCAGTAGTAAACCCTCCAGAAGTTGGAAGTTGAAGTAGAATTTTTTGAAATAGAATTTTTAAAGCGCAAGTTTTATAAAATCCTTTTACGTTGATTACCAAGCACGTTATTTTGTGAAAATGACTGGAATACCTTTGTGCCTACTGTAATAAAATTGAGGGGATAATTCATCACCCACCATTGCATCTGATTCTTGACTGGATTTTAAACAATTTCTGAGATTATTTCCCTTACAGTGTTTTACTCCTCAGTGAATACTCATAGTTGAGCAAAGGAGTTATTGCTGTTTCATTCAGAGCCACGTAAATGTTTGATGTGAGTAGTTGAAAGTCTAAATAATTCCCCCTTTTCCATGGAATCAATTCGTATAATTTTTCAAATTAAAAGGACTTTAGAAATCACCCAAATTTTAAAGGTTAGAAAACTGTTAGGTGACAAAAGCAAACTCATAACCAGAATTGGGTCTCCCTTTTCTCCCTGTTGTCTTCCCTAAAACCTATCTTTTCATGCCCAGCTTAGGTACTGCCTATTTTCAGAGTCTGTTATGATCTCTCCTTTAAAACTTTTACTGCACTAATAGTCAGTAGCTGACCTAACCAAAATTTTATTTTAAACTGCTAGTTGAAGACTTAATGTGTGCAGGGTGCAGTGCTAGATACTGTGGGAAATAAACCTGATTTAGTCACTGTTTTTCCAAGACTAGAAAGGGAGGAACAGAAACCACCATTTATAAAGGTGGGCTATGATAAGTGCTGTAATAAAGGTAGAAGCAGAGTAGTATAATATCAAAAATGAGATCAATTCTGATTAAAGGTCTTGAGAAAGTTTTGTAGAAGAGGTGGTGCCACAGGGCTTGGGACATAGTAGGTGTCAAGTAAACATTTATTAGTTGAATTAAGGTGGTTTTGTCCCGGGCCTTGAAGAGTAGGTATTAGTGCTCAGTATGGAAGTATCTTGGGGCTCTTTCTTACAACCCTCTACTCTTCTGTCCTGACTTCAGCTGTCATCCATTTGACTGTGATTTTCCAAATATGTTCTTTAGCTAGTCCTCTCGGACTACCTCAGCTACCTACTGGAAATCTTCACTTGGATGTGTAGCAGTATTTCAAACTCAAAGTTTCCCCAGATTAATTTTCCTTGCCATCCCTAACCCTGCTTTTCTGACAGTCTTCTGCAACCCTTTAAGTAGTATTCTGCCCCATCCAGGCACCTTAAAGCCTTTCCCTCCCCACATCCAATATATTATTGAATTCTTTCAGTTCTACTTCCTAGGTAGCTTTCATATTTTCATACCTCCTTCCATCCCAGCTGTAACCTAAATCACCATTGTCCCTTGCCTGGCTAGTTTCTTAAAGGATCTCCCTACTTCTACCGTTGTCTTTTTCCATCCCATTCTCCCCATCCCAAAGTTCATTCTTACACTGTAGTTAAAGGAAGCTTTTCCAAATGTAGACCTAATTATGTTCCTATCTTAAAGTCAGTCAGTGGATATCACTGTTCCTAGGATAAAAATCCAAAATTCTTAATATGGTTTACAAAATCTTTCACCATCTAATCTCTGTTTACCTCTCTAGGCTCACCTGCCTCTTTTCACTGGATCTTTCAGGTGCACTGAACATCTTTCAGCTCCTCACAGCTACCAAGCTCTCTTACCTTCAAGGCTTTGAACACATTGTTCCATCTTCTTGGTATGCTACCCCCTGTGTCTTCCCCCAGTATCTTCAGTTGCCTAACATCTCTTAATCCTTCATTCTTACCTTGAAGGTCACTTTCATACCCCTTTGCTAATAAGGTCTTACAGCAGCCTGTACTTCCCTTCTTTTAATATTTTTTATGCTTGTAATTACTTGTTTAATAACTGTCTCGTATGAGATTGCCAACTTGATTAGTGTAATTACCATGCTGGTCTTATTTGCCACTGTTGTCCCAAGCCCCCTGTCATAGTACCTGGTACATAGTGGCTTCTCAATAAATAGTTGCTGCATTGAAGTCTGAAGCAGAAGCAACATTAGTCATTAAAAATTTTTGAGCAGCTGTTATGTGTCAGTCACTTTTCTGGCTCCAGGGAAATAAAGGTGAACAAAGGAGACAGGATTCCTGCTTTCACTGAGTTTATATCTTGTGGGAGGCATGCCCACCCCAGACTAATGGGCTGAAGTTAAGAAGGCAAGTAACTGCTATTGGAAATGGGAGAAAAGAAACATTCTCCTCAAACACAGGGGTTTCTGTTTTCGAAGAAGAAAGAGTTATTGGACAGGTAGAACAATTACGTCTTTTTTTGTGGCTGCATCGGGTCTTCGTTGCAGTGTGCAGGCTTCTCATTGCGGTGGCTTCTCTTGTTGCAGAGCATGGGCTTTAGGTGCATGGGCTTCAGTAGTTGTGGCTCGTGGGCTCTAGAGCGCAGGCTCAGTAGTTGTGGCGCACAGGCTTAGTTGTTCCACGGCATGTGGGATTGGGCTTCAGTAGTTGTGGCTCGCGGGCTCTAGAGCGCAGGCTCAGTAGTTGTGGCGCACAGGCTTAGTTGTTCCACGGCATGTGGGATCTTCCAGGACCAGGGCTCAAACCCGTGTCCCCTGCATTGGCAGGCAAATTCTTAACCACTGCACCACCAAGGAAGGCCCAGAACAGTTATATCTTACCAGAAGCTAGATAAGGAGTGTAAATACCCCCAAAACCAACCAAACAAAAACCTTTAAATCTTAAAACCACAGAGCACCCAGACTTAAGAACTAAAGGCCAAACCAAACCTGGCAAAGTGACTGGCACATTCTAGTTGTAATCAATATTGAATAACAGTACCTGGTTTTGTCCTTTTTTCCCATTGGTTTTAAGCAGCTAAAGGAGAACATTGAGCAGTTCTTCACCAAATTTGTGGATGAGGGGAAAGCCACTGTTCGGTTAAAGGAGCCTCCCGTGGATATCTGTCTAAGTAAGGTATGGTATTAAAAACGTTAATGCTTAGGTTGGTTGACTGTAAAGAGAATAGAGGCTCCTTTAGGATCCTGATACTCACATAGCTGAACAGAGACAGTCACTTGCTGGTATGTTTGAAGAAGTGACGGCAGTTTCCCTGGCATGCATGTATGGCCTCTAAAATGGCAGAGTCAGTCTCAGAAAAGTTGCCCAGGATGGGAAGGAAAACTAGGTTTGCTTCTGTGCCCAAGATGGAGCCTCAGGGTGTTCCTAGACAGAACTCTATAAGGCAGGTGGCACAGGTCTACATTTTGCCAGCTGAATCACACGTGATGAATCTAAATTTGGTGTTAAAAAAAAAATGAAATACAATTAGAAACACTTCAGGGGGTATTTTACTTACTATAATCACTTTTAAAAATATATAAACCATTAGAATAAAAAACTGTTTTCTTCTTTGCCTTACCTCATTTTTTCCTTTTCCCCCTTCCCAGAGGGTAGGAGCAGTGATTTGTTCAACCTTGCAGTATCCTTAACCCCAAGGCACATGCTTTGTAAACATTAAAAGTTTAATAACTGTTTAAAGTATTTGTATTGAATGGAGGTGTTTTGTCCTACCTCCTCCTGTTCTTGTGATTTTTCATTTTCTCTTATATTCAGCCTATCTTTCCACTAACTCCTTCTACCTAAAAACAAGCTGAGAGGTCTTACCAATTAAGAAAGTAGAATAGACAAATTTCTGGAAAATCAAGGCTAAATCTGTTGGCTCCACTTTCTTGCTATCTCTTTTGACCTCTGCTTTCACTGGTTACTCACAAAATACTGCCTCAGAGATCAGTGATCTCCCTCCAATTTGCCAGTCACATTGCCATTATTTCTTATCCTTTTTGAGCTCTGTAGAACTCGACACTGATGACCACTCTGGACTTACTGGCTGGACTGCTTCACCCAGGTCACCAGACTTTCCTCACTGCGCTTCACTGTGTATACTGCTGCCAAAATAGCTCTTGTCATGTAATTCTCAACTCAGAATTCTTCAGTGGTTTCCCACAGCCTGATAATTCTATCCTCCTTACCTTGGCATCAAGCTCATCTGTAATCTATCCCCGTACTATATTTTTCCTCTTTTACTGCTCTACAAAGCTCCTACATTCCAACCAAATAGGATCATATACTTAGTTTCCGAAACTTGCTGAAAGTTCGCTAGTCCTTCACATATAAACTTTACGAAACTTCTGAAGTGTCCTGCAAGTATTAGTTATTTTTATTGATGACTTAGTTCACATACCACTTTATTAGTGATTTCTGTGTCCAGCTGGAAGCAGTCTCTTGCTTTTGATGTTTTCTAGTACTTTTGGCATTGAGTGCTATTTGGCCTTCCTTCCCCCCGCCCCACCCCCACCCCCGTACGTGGGCCTCTCACTGTCATGGCCTCTCCCGCTGTGGAGCACAGGCTCTGGATGCACAGGCCCAGCGGCCATGGCTCATGGGCCCAGCCGCTCCGCGGCATGTGGGATCATCCCGGACCGGGGCACGAACCCGTGCCCTGCATCGGCAGGAGGACCCCCAACCACTGCGCCACCAGGGAAGCCCTGGCCTTGCTTTTGACAGGGCCATTGCTTTCCACAATTCCTAGTGTTTGTGAATAATGCCCCCTAGGTGTTTGGCAGTGCACCGCACTACCTCATTCTGTCTCAGAGGCACTGGAGATTTGGGTCAGTTCATCTTTTCTTTTTTTTTTTTTTTTTTTTTTCAACAAGATGTGATCCATTGTTTCCTGATGTTCTCATGTTAATCCCCTAGGCATGGTTGGCGGGCAAACAGCACTGGCTGGGAGGAAGGCCCAGAAGTTCTAGAGAGTAGACGGAGGCCACGTGACGTACTGGACTCCACCAGTGATTTCACTGTGAACAATGTTTCCTCTCCATTTGCTCCGAGCTTCAAACTGTTCCAGCAAGACAAATTCATATTTGTGCAAGTGGCAAGAAATAAAAAAATCAGATGTGACCTCTGAAATGTCACGTGGTCACAGGATCACCCCTCTTTCAGGAAAGCTTGAATCCATGTTGAAGCACTTTGGAAACTCTGAAATGATATTCTTTTTTTTTTTTTTTTTTTTTTTTTTTTTTGACTTTGGTTACTAAGGTTAAGTAACTTTTTTTGTGTTTTTTGGGGGGATTATAGTCGATGGGTCAGTTCATCTTAAACCCAATTCTTAAGTGGAATCTTTTCATGCTTTCCTGTTTTATTTTATACTCTTATGGTTCCCCCGTGAACAGTTTTATTTAGCGTATGTCTCTCAATATAATTTTTTCAAAAACGTTTAAAGTTTTTTGTATCTGTATTGAAATTTAGTGAAAATAGAATACTAAAAAAATTTGTACAGCCATTTTCAATAAATGATTGCATGATTTGCATATATAACTTTACAGACTTTGTTTAGGATGGATTAGCATGGATGCATTATCTAAAATGGAATTTATAATTGTACAACTTATTTTTATGTATTCAGGCCAATTCCAGCAGTCTAAAGGGTTTCCTTTCAGCTGTAAGACTGGCTCACAGAGGCTGTGATGTTGAGGCACCACTTTTAACCTTCACACCAGTGAAGACTTCAGAATTTGAAAAATTTAAAACTAAAATGGTTATCACATCCAAAAAGGACTATCCTCTAAGCAAGAACTTCCCCTATTCTCTGAAACATCTTCAGACTTCTTATTGTGGGCTTGCCCGGGTTGATATACGTATGCTTTCCTTAAAAAACCTTAGAAAATTAGACTTGAGTCACAACCATATAAAAAAGCTTCCAGCTACAATTGGAGACCTCATCCACCTTCAAGAACTTAACCTGAATGATAATCACTTGGAGTCATTTAGTGTAGCCTTGTGTCAGTCTACACTCCAGAAGTCACTTCGGAGTTTGGATCTCAGCAAGAACAAAATTAAGGCACTCCCTGTGCAGTTTTGCCAGCTCCAAGAACTTACAGATTTAAAACTTGATGATAATGAATTGATTCGACTTCCTTTCAAGATGGGACAACTGACAAACCTGCGTTTTTTGTCAGCGGCTCGAAATAAGCTTCCGTTTTTGCCTAGTGAATTTAAAAATTTATCCCTTGAGTACTTGGATCTTTTTGGAAATATTTTTGAACAACCAAAAGTCGTTCCAGTTATAAAGCTGCAAATGCCATTAACTTTATTGGAATCTTCTGCGCGAACCGTACTATATAATAGGTAAGCCTTTGATAGCATCCTGGTATTCTCATCATCCTCAGAGTAACAAAGTCTTTAACATAGCTTATGATGCTGTGCACAATGACGCTTTGCTCCAGTGGCCATCTTGCTGTTCCTTACCTCTGCTTAGAATGCTTTTCCTCCAGAAAGTCTCATACCTTACTTTCTCACTTCAGTTCTCTGCGCAAGTGGCACCCCAGAAAGGTCTTTCCTGACTACTCTATCTAAAGTTTTATCCCCCACCCCCTTACATTGCTTGATTTTTTTGTCATAGGGTTTATTACCTGGAATGATACATATTTTTTAACATTTGTTCGTTTTCTGTCAGATATTCTCACTAGAATATAAGATCCATGAGGGCATGGACTTTGCCTTATTCTCCACTATTTCCCTTGGGTCTAAAATGTGATATCCCCCATACCTGCAATATGTTAGGGAATGAATGAATGAAGAATGAGTGAGTGAGTGAGTGAGTGAGTGAATAAATCAATGAATGACATTGTTTCTCAGAGTCTGGTTCCCTGACCAGCAGCATCAGCATCACCTAGGAATTTGTTAGAGGTGCAAGTTCTTGAGCTTCACCTCACACCGGCTGAATCAGAAATTCTGAGGGTGGGGTCCGGCTCTCTGTGTTTTAACAAGTCCTCCAGGTATCTCTGATACAGTCTAAAAGTTTGAAAACTCCAATCTGGCATAGTGGTAAAGTGTGGTCTTTGGAGTCAAACTTAGGTATGATTCCTGGCTTCACCCCTTAGTGTGGCTTTAGCAAGTTATTTAATCTCTTTGATTGAATCTCATCTGTGAAGCAGGAACAATAATACTCACTTTACAGAGTTGTGAAGATAAATGATCTAATGTAATGGCAAAGCATTTGGCATATAGGAGGACTCAGTAGCTCCTGGTTCTCTTCCCTTGTCTTTGAACACTAACTGCAGTTGGTCAGGAGACACCAAACTCCAATTCATTTTATTCAGGCTTCTTTCATGTAGGAGTGGAAGCTAAGATGTGAACCAAATTACTATTGCGTGCTTATAAAATGGTAGGAACACCATATTTCGAAGAAGAGATTCTTAACTTTTTTTTAGTGGGGAGAGACTCTTAAAAAAAGAAAAATGACAGAAGTTATGGGCCTAGAAAAATGCACACATGAATAAACACAGACTCTTGCATACAACTTTATAATGCTCATAGACCCCACTGAAACCCAAGCCAGTCTTTCCTCTTCACCATCCCTAGCTTAAGAGCTCTTATCCTAAAGCAGTGGTTCTCAAATTTTACTTCACATTTAGAATCACCTGAGGAGCTTCAAACAAATTCTGATGGTTAGTCCCCACCCCAGACTTATTAAATCAGAATGTTTGGCAGGGGACTTCCCTGGTGGCGCGGTGGTTAAGAATCCGCCTGCCAATGCAGGGGACACGGGTTAGATCCCTGCTCCGGGAAGGTCCCACATGCCGTGAAGCAACTAAGCCTGTGCACCACAACTACTGAGCCTGCACTGTAGAGCCCGGGAGCCACAACTACTGAGCCCACGTGCTGCAACTTCTGAAGCCCGGGTGCCCTAGAGCCTGTGCTCTGCAACAAGAGAAGCCCGCGCACTGCCATGAAGAGTAGCCCCTGCTCACCACAACTAGAGAAAGCCTGTGTGCAGCAACGAAGACCCAACTCAGCCAAAAATAAATTAATAAAATATAAACAAATTTGAAAAACAAAAAAAGAATGGGAGTAGGACCCAGTATTTTTTTTCTGTAACTTTTTTTTTTTTTCTGTACGAGGGCCTATCACTGTTGTGGCCTCTCCCGCTGCGGAGCACAGGCTCCTGATGCGCAGGCTCAGCGGCCATGGCTCACGGGCCCAGCTGCTCCGCGGCATGCGGGATCTTCCTGGATCAGGGCACGAACCCGTGCCCCCCGCATCGGCAGGCAGACTCCCAACCACCGCGCCACCAGGGAAGCCCGTACCCAGTATTTTTTTAACTCCCCAGGTATTCTAATGTATGGCTAGCTAGGATTAAGAACCGCAGCTTGCTTCTCAAACTTTAAGCGCATTCACATCACCTGGGAGTCTTGTTTAGCAGATTCTGTTTTAGAGGTCTGTGGTAGAGATCTGCTTTTTTTTTTTTTAATTTATTTTTATTTTTAACATCTTTATTGGAATATAATTGCTTTACAATGGTGTGTTAGTTTCTGCTTTATAACAAAGTGAATCAGTTATACATATACATATGTTCCCATATCTCTTAAATTTTAAAAAATAATTGAAAAAATAATAATTAAAAAATATATACAGCCCAAGATAAAATATACTAGTCCTCTTTCACACATACCCATTTAAGAGAAAGAAGGCAGGAAAGCCATGTGGTTCTTTCCAACCAGGGGCTAGTGTGAGAGCAGGAGGAGCCAGCCTCTCTGCCATTAATGAGTAATTCCACTCACAGGTGTAAAAGCCACTTTACATTACAGGGGCTTGATTTAGGGTGTTCCACATCTTCTTCCAGAGAGCCCGGCCCTTAACGGAACCTGTGTAAAAGCCACTTTACATTTTTAACTCTCACTTCAAACACAAGTTGGCCTGGACCCTCATGTGGGATCCAGACACACAGAGGGAAAGAATTTTCAAAGGCAATTCAGGAATTCCAAGCTTTCTCCCCTCTCTGATCTCTTCACCCCAGGTTCAGACCCCTGTGCCCCACCCAGGTTGGCTCCAGACTGTCAACTTTCAAGGCAAAGGGTGCAGGCAACAGTATCTTTATTTCCCTTCCAAAATCACATCAACCTTTCGCCTCAAGTTGCCTGATATTATCTGATTCCATGGACCATTTTTTTTTCTTTCCCGGTATGTGGGCCTCTCACTGTTGTGGCCTCTCCCGCTGCGGAGCACAGGCTCCTGATGCGCAGGCTCAGCGGCCATGGCTCACGGGCCCAGCTGCTCCGCGGCATGCGGGATCTTCCTGGATCAGGGCACGAACCCGTGCCCCCCGCATCGGCAGGCAGACTCCCAACCACCGCGCCACCAGGGAAGCCCGTACCCAGTATTTTTTTAACTCCCCAGGTATTCTAATGTATGGCTAGCTAGGATTAAGAACCGCAGCTTGCTTCTCAAACTTTAAGCGCATTCACATCACCTGGGAGTCTTGTTTAGCAGATTCTGTTTTAGAGGTCTGTGGTAGAGATCTGCTTTTTTTTTTTTTAATTTATTTTTATTTTTAACATCTTTATTGGAATATAATTGCTTTACAATGGTGTGTTAGTTTCTGCTTTATAACAAAGTGAATCAGTTATACATATACATATGTTCCCATATCTCTTCCCTCTTGCGTCTCCCTCCCTCCCACCCTCCCTATCCGGTCCCTCTAGGTGGTCACAGACCACCTAGCTGATCTCCCTGTGCTATGCGGCTGCTTCCCACTAGCTATCTCTTTTACATTTGGTAGTGTATATATGTCCATGCCACTCTCTCACTTTGTCACAGCTTACCCTTCCCCCTCCCCATATCCTCAAGTCCATGCTCTAGTAGGTCTGTGTCTTTATTCCCGTCTTGCCCCTAGGTTCTTCATGACATTTATTTTCTTAGATTCCATATATACGTGTTAGCATGAGGTATTTGTTTTTCTCCTTCTGACTGACTTCCCTCTGTATGACAGACTCTAGGTCTATCCACCTCACTACAAATAACTCAATTTCGTTTCTTTTTATGGCTGAGTAATATTCCATTGTATATATGTGCCACATCTTTATCCATTCATCTGTCGATGGACATTTAGGTTGCTTCCATGTCCTGGCTATTGTAAATAGAGCTGCAGTGAACACAGTGGTACATGACTCTTTTTGGATTATGGTTTTCTCAGGGTATATGCCCAGTAGTGGGCTTGCTGGGTCGTGTGGTAGTTCTATTTGTAGTTTTTTAAGGAACCTCCATACTGTTCTCCATAGTGGCTGTGTCATTTTACATTCCCACCAACAGTGCAAGAGAGTTCCCTTTTCTCCACACCTTCTCCAGCATTTATTGTTTCTAGATTTTTTGATGATGGCCATTCTGACTGCTGTGAGATGATATCTCATTGTAGTTTTGATTTGCATTTCTCTAATGATTAATGATGTTGAGCATTCTTTCATGTGTTTGTTGGCAATCTGTATATCTTCTTTGGAGAAATGTCTATTTAGGTCTTCTGCCCATTTTTGGATTGCCTACATTCCAGGCGAGGCTGCTAGTCCATGAACTACACTTTGAATACAAAGGCTCTAAAAGTAACTAAGGGCTCATTGTTTTAAGGCAGTGATCCTCAGAAGTTGAGAGTGCATCACAATCATGCTTATTGTAACACAGTACTTAACTAAAGCAGATTGCTGGTCCCCACCCTCAGAGATTCTTACTCAGTAAATTTGGAGTGGGGATGAAACTGCATCTGTAATAAGTTCCAAGGGGATGTTGATGCTGCTGCTCAGGGGACCACACTTTGAGAACCACTGGTTTAAGGCATTGACTCTTAACTAGGAGTTGAGAATTACCTATTAAATAACAATACATGTAAGTACCTAGAACAGTGCCTTGTTCATAATAGGTCCCAATAAATACTTATTGGATGTATAAATACAAGTAATTTGCTTCTCTGGTAATTAAAAGCCAATGTTGTTATCATTAGTTGTGGAGGAGTTCCTAAATAATATAGATGAGAAATCTAGGTAATCTAGGTCCTAGATTCTAGGTAATCTAGGACCTAGATTCTACCTCAGACCAACTAGTTCAGAATCTCCAGAGATGGACCCCTATTGTATGTTGTATATTTTTTTAAATCTCCAGAAGTGATACTGATGATTCAGGTTAAGACCACTGATTTGTGAGAAATCTGTGGTGTCTTTTGGAAATGTACTGCTCCCGAGTTTCTTGTTCTGTGTTTTCTCTAAGACTTACATATGAAAAAATATGTATATATTGTACTTATTCAAATTTGAAAATTATGTCCAAATGAGAAATACTGTAAATGGTTACTGATGATTTGAAAAGATCCTAACAGATTGGCTAAGATGACTCTAATCTTTACTAAAGGGTAATTTTGCATGTTTTGAGCTCCGTTGTTTTAAAAAGAATATAGATCCAAAGCCATGAGAACAGCATCTGTTATCTAGCTATTGATAAATTGTCCTAACTGGGACTTCCCTGGAGGCACAGTGGTTAAGAATCCGCCTGCCAATGCAGGGGACACGGGTTCAATCCCTGGTCTGGGAAGATCCCACGTGCCGCAGAGCAGCTAAACCCGTGCACCACAACTACTGAGCCTGCACTCTAGAGCCTGCGAGCTACAGCTACTGAAGCCCGCACGCCTAGAGCCCACACACCAAGAAAAAACACCGCAATGAAAAGCCCGTGCACTGCAACAAAGAGTAGCCCCCGCTCATCTCAACTAGAGGAAGCCCTCTTGCAGCAACAAAGACCCAATGCAGCCAAAAATAAATAAATTTATTAAAAAAAAATTGTCCGAACTACTGGTTATAAACATAAAGTTATAGTCTATTAGAAAAATATGTGGTAACTTAAATTATGTTGGATAGAAAGTACAGTTTTTAACTGTTTCCTGTTTCCTTAGACTATAACCAATAGCCTGGAATGTAAATGTGGTTTTTAAAAATATTGTTACTTACACAAGTAATAAATTTGTACATGTGAAAAAATTAAAAATTGCAAAAAAGGCCAATACCAAATCCCTTAGGAAAAGTAGGCCACTATTTTTGATTTGATGTGTATCTTTTCAGACTTTTCTAATAGGGTTTTAAACTCCAGTTTAAATTATAATAGTAGGTTTTATTTATTTGTTGAAAAAGATCTGAACACCTATTATGTGCCAGCCTAGGTACTAGAGAAACAACAAAGAGAACAGTGTGGGGGAGACGCACAGTGATGGCGGTATGGTTGTGTTTAGGGTGGAGTAGCTAGCTGGGAGGTGGGCAGGCAACCGCAAGAGACTGTCTCTTAGTGTCTCGTAGATGAGGGTTTTGAGTTTGACTTGATTTGATTTTTTTTTTTTTTACTTAGTTGGATTTTAATTGTATTGGGCACCATTGAAATTTTAAGCAAGAGGGTGAATGAATTTAAGCAAGGTTAAATTGCTTACTTGGCTACTAAAGTAAAACTAATGTCCCAAACAACATGTGTTTTCAATTTGTTTCACACAGTTTAAAATTCCCTTTTGAACATTTGATGCCTATGAGAGTATATGGATTGATTGATTGATTTTTAAATTAATTTATTTTTGGCTGCATTGGGTCTTCGTTGCAGTGCGTGGGCTTCTCAATGGGGTGGCTTCTCGTTGCGGAGCATGGGCTCTGGGCTCGCGGGCTCTAGAGCACAGGCTCGGTAGTTGTGGCACACAGGCCTTAGTTGCTCCGCGGCATGTGGGATCTTCCCAGACCAGGGCTCGAACCCATGTCCCCTGCATTGGCAGGCGGATTCTTAACCACTGTGCCACCAGGGATGCCCTTATATGGATTTATTTAAATAAATGTTTCTACACAGATAGAACTGAGTAATTCTCTCATTATCATTTATAAGAATTGTATGACAGAGCCATACGTTTAAATTATGTTACACTGGTCATACAGTATAATTATATAAAGGACAGATGGCTCTTTCATTGTATACAGTGGGTTATGCTAATTAAGTGGCGGTACTAAAAGATACTTTATAGAGTGGTATAGATCCTCTTAGGTTTACAAAATATGTCATATGCTGTTACTTAGTATATTTTCCCCATTTGTACCAGTTAGGAAAATAAAACAATATACTGAGTTAATTAATAGAGTAATTTTATTTTTCCATTGTTATAATTTCAGTGTCCAGTAATTCATGTCCTAATACATGAAGTTTTGAATCTAGTAACACATTAAAAAATATTTTTAAAATATTTTTTTCCAATAGGATTCCATATGGCTCTCATATCATTCCTTTCCATCTTTGCCAAGATTTGGATACTGCAAAAACGTGTGTTTGTGGAAGATTCTGTCTAAGTTGTTTTATTCAAGGAACTACTACCATGAACCTACACTCTGTTGCTCACACTGTGGTCTTAGTAGATAATATGGGTGGTACTGAAGCACCTGTTGTCTCTTACTTCTGTTCTCTAACCTGTTATGTAAATTCCTGTGATATGTTAAAGTAATAAGTGATACCACAAAAAGAAATTCCATTTAGTTACAGGCCAATTTGGGACTCACTTATTGTTTACATGTCAGATTGGAGAAAGGGAAGCTTTTCGTGGGTTTTGTATACTTGCTTGAGGGGAAAAATGTGTGTTAGTGTAACATTTTCGATCATTTGGCTGTAAGATCTTAATTTCATTAAAACCTAATTTTATTGTGGTGTTAACTTTTATCAGCTTATTGCACTTGTGTTATTTCAGCCTAGTGTTTCCAGAATGGGTTGTGGGGTTATTTTTTAATGTTAAAACAGATATTGGTCCCAACCACTGTGGTCATAGAATTTTCTCATCAGTTTTCGTCTTGCGTTTCAGTTAAATTGAATTTCTGGGACTTCCCTGGTGGTCCAGTGGCTAAGACTCTGTGCTCCCAGTGCAGGGGGCCCAGGTTCAATCCCGGGTCAGGGAACTAGATCCCATATGCCACAACTAAGACCCAGTGCAGCCAAATAAATAAATGTTAAAAAAAAAAATTGAGTTTCTGTATGCAGAAAATATACTTTGCACTAATATAGTCTAAAGTGTAGTGAGAACTTGATATGAAACTACATATTAAGTTTTTAAGCACTTTTGTGTTTTTCAGGTATATTATTCTAAATATATATGGAATTTTATATTCACCATACATAAAGTAGGAGTTGCTTTGGACAGACTTAAGCTTTTACAAGTTTTATAATATTAATCCCATAATCTTTGTTGTGATTTCTAAGTTTTTTAATTTTTAGGGCTGGAATGAGGTTTTGGGGTTGGGTGGGAGTAGCAGAAAATTGCTACGTTTACTAAGTTCTGTATTATATGAGGGTGGTTCTTTTTGTTTTAGTCACTTAATATGTTTAAGTTTTTAAATTAAAAAACTGATAATGTATCAGCCACAATATACCAGCTAAAGGATGACTAGGATTTGAACTAGAGCAGAGGATATATAAAAGGAACCAACTTAAAAGAATCTTGGAAAATGGAAGAACTGTTTCATTCTCCTCATTCCCAATGTCTTTCAAATCAGCCTCTCTCCTAGATCACTGCAACAGTGTCAGACTAGCCTCTGGGAACAAAGGAGGGGAAAGAGCGTAAGTATCTGGAGAAAAATCCTCTCTGTGAACCTAGATCGGGGATTTCCAGCCCAGGCTTTATACTGCCTTCTAAAGTTAATTCACTTTTGCTCTTTAAAACTAAGAATTCTGTAATTGAGTATGTTAGGATTTTCTGAACTCATAAATTGGTGAGACATTGCCTGAAAATATTATAAAACAACTATATTAAAACATGGTTCTTTAAAAAGTGAAGTTTTGTGGCATAGTTAAAAGTAATTTAGTGCATATCTGATTTTTACATGTTCCTGCAGAAAGACAATGATTTCTTCATCAATAAATGTAGATATAAAAGTCTGTGTTGGGGGGCTTCCCTGGTGGCGCAGTGGTTGAGTCCGCCTGCCAATGCAGGGGACACGGGTTCGTGCCCCGGTCCGGGAAGATCCCACATGCCGCGGAGCAGCTGGGCCCGTGAGCCATGGCCGCTGAGCCTGCGCGTCCAGAGTCTGTGCTCCGCAACGGGAGAGGCCACAACAGCGGGAGGCCCACGTACCGCAAAAAGAAAAAACAAAAAAGCCTGTGTTGGGAATAAGTGCCCACCATGTTATTCCTACACCCTAGCCCTTTGCATTCTTGCTCATCTACAAGCCATCCCCATTGTAAGCATCTTAGCCTAAAATTCATATACAAAAAGCAGGGTCTTTATTTTTGGCTACATTGGGTCTTTGTTACTGCGCATGGCTTTCTCTAGTCGCGGTGAGCGGGAGCTACTCTTCCTTGCAGTGCACGGGCTTCTCATGTTGCGGAGCTGGGGCTCTAGGCGTGTGGGCTTCAGGTGGCTTGTGGGCTCTAGAGCGCAGGCTCAGTAGTTGTGGCGCATGGGCTTAGTTGCTCTGCGGCATGTGGGATCTTCCCGGACCAGGGCTTGAACCTGTGTCCCCTGCACCAGCAGGTGGATTCTTAACCACTGCACCACCAGGGAAGCCCACCT